ACGGATATACAGTTTATGTTCTTGTTTTCATGCTGTCCTCAAAAGAACGGTAGTTAACCTTCTTCTAATTTTGAAAAAAAAAGAACAAAAACTTCAGTGGTTTCCATGCTTTTGCTAACGCCCAAAGGGCCACTGGTGACAAACCTTTCAATTGATCTAGGATGGTGCAGCATCTCTAAAACCCTTTATTATATCTAATTAGACAACCTTTAATTCTCCTACAAAGTAGTGAAATCCTCCGTGGTTTGCCACGGGTTCACTACCCACGCATGCTGCGTGTGTGCGTGCACAGTGTGTGCCAAACGCACACTGAGCGTGCATGCACACTCCGCATCGAACGCACGCTGTGTGCACGCACATACGCAGAGCACACCAAACACGTGCTTCACGCAGAAAAAGGAGGCTTAAGAAGGTAAGTAGAACAGTGAGCGGGGGGAACAGCTGTGCCGCGCAATTTAGATTCGCTAGAACTGTTTCCTAGCGAATCTAAATCGCGCGGCACAGCTGATTGTCAGAAATACCGATTCAGACGAACTGGTAGCTTTTTTTTACTACTGGTTTGCCCGAACCGGTAGCTTTTATTACATTTCATCCCTGCATTAAAGGTAATATTTTAAACAGGAAATTTAAATTTACTGTTACCTAAAATTTAGCATTCTCTGATACTGATCTCATTCATTCATTCATTCATTCATTCATTCATTCATTCATTCATTCATTCTTCACTTATTTAGACATAAAGACATACTTTGGGAATAGCAAACAGAGAAATAGATTATGCATTAGTTTTCAACTAATCATCCTGAAAGTTGAGTAGCATTTGTCTTCAGTAACATCTAACTTCACATAAAATGTGTTTAGTGCAAACACAGGTGTCCTTCCTCCATAAATAAAACTATCCTTCTTTGTAGAAAATAAGTTATGTGCACAAGGTAGAAACAGGACACCGTGCTAATGTATTAGTAAACCGAGTTAAAATTTACAAGTGGGTGATAACAAACAGAGAAACAAGATTGTTATAATCATCCAGGTCCTTCTTTAGGCTTTCAATACACTAACAGAATGGTAACAAGCTTGTAAGGGGAATTAATCTGGTCTGTAGACATATACCATCTCTTTGTATCATTAGCTTACATAAATCTTTACCATCACAACTTTGATGTCAGTTTAGTTTTGTAGGTAAACAAGTACACCTACTGCATTGTAAGCATTATTCATCAACAATACATTGATATTATTATTACAGACCTGTAAAAATACAAATAGAAACAGTAAATTTAAATTTACTGTTTAATATATTAGCTTCCTTGTTCTCTCTCCCTCTCAGTTTTCTCTCGTTCTCTCTCTCTCCCTCTCTTTTGTTCTCTCTCTCCCTCCCTCTTGTTCTCTCTCACTCTCACTCTCTCTCTCCCCTCTCCCTCCCTCCCTTCTTTTCTCTAATTCTCTCCCATCCCCTCCCTCCCCCTTTTCTTTCTCTTGTTCTCCCTCTCCCTCCATCTCTTGTTCTCTCTCTCCCTCTCTCCCCTCCCTTGTTCTATCTCCCTCCCTCCCTCTTGTTCTCTCAGTCCCTCTCTGTCCCACTCTTGTTCTCTCTCCCCCTCCCTTGTTCTATCTCCCTCTCCCTCCCTCTTGTTCTCTCTGTCCCTCTCTCCCTCCCTTTTCTCTTTCTTTCTCTCCCTCCCCCTCCCTCTCCCCCTCCCTCATTTTTTCTCTTATTCTTGTTCTCCCTCCCTCTCCTGTTCTCTCTCCCTCTCCCTCCCTTGTTCTGTTTCCCTCTCCCTCCCTCCTCGTTCTCTCTCAGTCCCTCAGTCCTTCTCTTGTTCTCTCTCTCCCTCCCTCTTGTTCTCTCTGTCTCTCAGTCCCTCTCTTGTTCTCTCTCTCTCCCTCGTACTATCTCCCCTCCCTCTCTCCCTCCTTCTTGTTCTCTCCCTCCCTCTCTTGTTCTCTCTCTGTTTCTAATTTTTTCTCTCTCTTTCATTTTCCCTCTCTCGTTTTCTCTCTCTCTCATTCTCTCTCTCTGTCTCTCTCTCTCTCACTCACTCAGTATTGTTATTTAGGAGTCAACAATAACATTAAAAATGAATGTAGTAAAGTTGGGAATTGTTTTGCGGTGCACACCAACTGTTGATAGTTACTTAACAGATTAAAGGTTGCTGCTGGCGGTAGGCTTCGGTGTGCTAAAAGCGATGGCAAGTCGCTGAGCAGCCCTGATAATTCTAGGCAGTTTGAATAGTCCCTCAAGGCAAGCATCGTATTCTGGAGCATATGTCTTTTTCCATCCCTTCCTCCATGATGCAGTTAATTACAACAACCCAGAGGCAGCCGGTGGGAATAACATCTGCAAGAGCCCAATTTAAAGAGGAAGGAAGCAAAACAGGGAGATGGAGTGGTGGTGGTGGTGGTGGGCTACCTAATACATCCAGATTAAATCTTAGAATCCTAATTATGGTGTGGAATAAAAGGAAGAACATAGGATTTGCATGATGAGTTCTTTTGCTTTGTTGTGTCATGGGCTTCTACTAATGCAGGGGTGTAAAACTGGATTTCTTTGACGGCTGGATCATCATTGTAGTTCTCCTCTGCGGGCCGGATGGGGGTGGGTGGGAGATGGACGGATACCTCCTGCAGCACCCTGCCGGCCAAAATGGCTCGTTGGGGGGCCAGGTGCAGCCCGTGCGCCCTGTTTTCAGCCTAGACGGCCTCCTGCAGCACTCTGGTGGCCAAAATGGGGTGTGTGGGGGCCAATTGTTTGCTTTTCATACCCCCACCCCATTTGACCACCAGAGACACAGTGGGCCAGTCCTTTGCTATTTCCAGGCCAGCTCCATGGGCCAGATTTAAGCACATCTGGCCTGTGGGCCTTGAGTTTGACAGCTCTGTACTAATGGATTAATTTCACCTACAAGGGGAATGTTATGTTCGCTCATCTCAATAACAGTAGTCCTGGACTTACCACCATAATTGAGCCCATGATTTCTGTTGCTAAGGGAAGCATTTGTTAAGTGAAATCGCCCTATTTTATGACCCCTTTTTTTGCCACAATTGTTAAGTGAATCGCTGCAATTGTTAAGTTAATAACACGGTTGTTAAATGGATTTGGTTTCCCAACTGACTTTGCTTATGAGTAGGTCGCAAAGGTTGATCACCTGAGCCCGGAACATTGCAACCGTCATAAATGTGAATCAGTTGCCAAGCATCTGAATTTTGATCACACGACCATGGGGGGGATGCTGCCTCAGTCGTAAGGGTGAAAAAACGGTCATAAGTCGCTTTTTTTCCCAGTGTCGCTGTAACTTTGAATGGTAAGTAAGTAAACTGTTGTAAGTCGAGGATCACCTGTACATAGAAGACTCTCAATATTGCATTGAATTTAATTTAATTCCACTGTCATCAGTATCCAGACCTGGGAACAAATCTTTCTCCTCCTGTCCTGTCCACTTTTTACAGAGGCACAACTGAGAGCTTATTAACAAACTACATCACTGTTTGGTTTGGTGGCAGCAGTGCCTCAGTTAGAAAGTCCCTACAGAGAGTGGTAAGGACAGCCGAGAAGATCATAGGAAGCTCGCTTATAAACACTATGTACTTAGAGCTCAAAGCATTGTTAGAGACCCCACAGAACCACTTCACAGTCTATTCTGTCACTCTCCCCTGGGAGGAAGTTTCGAAGTATTTCTAGCAGGACTTCCAGATTCTGTAACAGCTTTGTTTGAGTTTGATACCCCTGCTCTAGGATTTTAAGCTAGTCCTTCCTTTCCTCGAAGTAACAGTAACAGAGTTGGAAGGGACCTTGGAGGTCATTTAGTCCAACTCCCTACTCACGCAGGAGACTTATATTAGGGATTCAAACCGCTGACCTTTCCAATCCACAAGCTCAGCGTCTTAGCCACTGAGCCACCTAGGGAGCCGCCAAATATTTCCCTCTTTGAAAAGTGGAAAATTATTTCACATAGTGAGCAAAGAGAAACAGTGGTCGCTATGTCAGTATCTTTCATTTCAATCTATAAATATATGCTGGAAAAATGGTTCAACTATTTTCTCTTGCATTCTGCTTTGCTGTTAGAGTAGAAAACAGGGTCAAAAGTTACTAAACGAAGCTATTATATAATCCTTGAACTTCTTTGATCATTACAAAAGTCAACTCATTGTTGGATGAACCACATTAAGTGAGGGGAAAAAAATAACATTCCTGACACTATCTTTTAGAAGCACATCTTCAATGAAAAGCTATTTCTAAGAGTAAGAACTATTATGAACAGCATTGAATATGTCATGATTAGCAAGAACTGGAGGGGATAATAATCATTGGAAATTGTTAACTGGAGTAATCCCCCCCCCTTTTTTTTTTTTTAAAAAAAGGGAAGAGTGATTTAAATTCTGCAAGTAGTTATTTGCTCCACCTTAACTATTCCTGCAAAATAATTTCTGAAAATTAAATATCTCTAAACAGAACAGTATATGCTGGGGTTAGAAATAACTTTTGTGTGTGTGTGTGTAATTGTGGTTGATTTTGCCACTCAGAATATCTAGCGATTTGCAAATTTCATACACAAGTGAGAAAAATGTGGAGAAAAGACATCAATACCAAATCCTACTGAAATCCCAATTAAACGTGCTCATACTTTAAATAGCCCAGAGAAGATATAACTGATTAATCCAGCACCACTTCCCTATCACAGAATTCTTGTATGGATTTTACACAATCAAAAAGTGTTTTCCCCATAAAGATTTTGCAGCGCATTTTCACCAATATTTCACACACTGAAATATAACAAATAATGATATATAAATTCCAGATCTTAAGAGCAGAAAAAGGATGGAATAAAGCAGAATATTGAATGGCAAGCTGAATTTGCTATGTGCATATTAGTGATCCATTTCCTTCAAGGATTGGAAAGAAATGCTAATCAAGAGAATTTGTTGAGACACTGGACAATATTCTAGAAAGAACCATGCACAAATATATTTATCGGCATAAGGAGTGATGAATCTCTACTTACCAAAAATAATGTCCGGAATGCACTTAGATCTCCAAAGAATTCCTCAATGGTCACAGATTTGGAATCAAAAGTATAATAGTCTCCCAAATTATCATACAGCTTGATCATGTTGTTATGCATGTTTGATAACTTTTCGTATTGTTCTCTGGCACTCTTGGCAAAACTGTGTTCTTATGGTTAAGGAAGCTTGAACGAATAACACAACCAATCCTATTCTCTAATTTCTCCTTTACCGATATTTGATAGAAAAATGTTCCATATTTTAGCAAGTTTAAGATTGCTCGATTCAAGTTCGCTCATGTACAACTGCTGGTTGCTGAAATAAATCAGCTGTTTGCTCGAGTTCCTAATCTTGAGCAATCTGTGACTAGGATGCTGGAGTTTTGAAGCAAAGAAAACAGTTAGCATTATATCCCATCAGAAATGACATGGAACAACATTTGTGAGCGGAAAGCGTCTGTGAAATTGGAGATAGAATTCTGACGGGATGCTGTATTTTAGGATTCAGCAAATGCAGAATCATAAAAATACGATAAAGTAAAAAGGAGTGAGCTCACACAAAGCAAATAATTCTACCCAGAATAAATCCCAATAAAACATAAATTATTAACATAAGGCATCCTTGGAATTGGCATGACACATACATTGCAAATATAGTTTTGAGAAGCTACATAACTCCTAATCCAATAAAACTGTCTCTTTGCTATTCTGGAGATGCATTAAGAATAGTCTGAGAAACTCATATGAAAAGTCACAATGGGCATATAGTTAAAATGTTGTAAGAATCTAAACCTCCTAACAACATTTAAACAAAAAAGCCTGAGCAGTAGTTTACAGAATTACTTTCTCTCTGTGTGTGTGATTGTGTATGCCACTGTATGTTGGAACTTCTGCTATGCTATTGCTTGTGTATTACTACACTTTTGTTTTTAATAAACTAACGTTAAGCAGAGAACAAAAATAATATTTCTCCAAGTGCCGTGATTGCAGCAGAGTGAACATACTGTACTTAAAAAAAAAAAAAAACCCAAAAACCCCTCAGAAAACAAAAACTGAAGAGGGCTTGAAAATTAACCCAAGATCTACTTGACCTTCATAACAATTTTAGTTACAAATTACATAATTGTCACCTGAAGTGGAAGGAAGCAATTTCCTACAGAAGTTAAACGACAAGAACAATGCAAATGCAAATAAAGGTTAACATTTTATTAAGGGAATAATTAAGTCATACCTTTTCATTCTTCTACTTCAAATTCAATAAATGCTTCATTAATTTTTTTTTCTAATGACAAAAAGAAGGGGAAGAAGAGATTAGTAACCTTTGTTCTTTAGCAAATAGTGTGATAGCAATAGCAATAGCATTTAGACTTATATACTACAGTGCTTTACAGTCCCTCTCTAAGCGGTTTACAGAATCAGCATATTGCCCCCAACAATTTGGATCCTCATTTTGCTCACCTTGGAAGGATGGAAGGCTGAGTCAACCTTGAACAGGTGGGAATCGAACTGCTGGCAGTGGGCAGAGTTAGCCTGCAGTATTGCATTGTAACCAAGAAGGAAGGAAGGAAGGGCAATAGCCGTAACACTTAGACTTGTATACCACTTCACAGTGCTTTACAGCCCTCTCTAAGTGGTTTACAGAGTCAGCATATTGCCCCCAACAATCTGGGTCCTCATTTTACTGACCTCAGAAGGATGGAAGACTGAGTCAACCTTACGTGGCAATGGTGTTTTTCTATCAACGCTCAATGCATGTTCTCCTCTATGCTAAGTCAGCTTTGCTACTGCCCCATTCCAGCAGAATAACCAGGTCATACATGACACATGTAAAAAAAGGGACAGTTGTCATGTTGTTATAGCTTCCATCATGAGTTTTTTTAACCTCCATTATTCTAACAAAATGGAGAAAGATTGAAAAAAATCAATCCGTTTATAGTACAGATAGAAACATTCACAAATACATCCATGCTAGATTCAGATCTATGGTCAACAGACAATTCGGGATCCACAAATTAGTCCCCCATACACCCCCAGCCAATAAAGTTGCAGAGAGCCTCGGAATGAACAGTTGGCTATTCAGTCTAAGTCAGGAGTCTCCAGCCTTGGCAACTTTAAGACTTGTGGACTTCAACGCCCAGAGTTCCTCAGCCAGCAAAGCAAAGCTGGCTGAGGAATTCTGGGAGTTGAAGTCCACAAGTCTTAAAGTTGCCAAGGTTGGAGATCCCTGGTCTATGACACACGAGGCATTCAGAGGACAAGTCGTACTTTTCCTAGCTCTTCCACTCAACCCCAATCAACAGTTGCATGCAAAAGTTTACACTTCCTTGATCAAATCGTGTTTGAGTGAATATCTGAGTGAACAGGCTGTCAGGCCTGGAAGCCATCTTTTGTATTGGGCCTTCAGACCTGCCACATTTACTACTGTGGGAAACCGGGAGGGGGGGAATTGTGTGGAGCGTGGGTGATATATAGTCATAACAACATTCCTTTCTCAGGGAGTCAAGGACATCTTGCCCTGTACGTGGACGGCTGGAAGTGGAGGCATCTCCAGTTGGGATGGTGTCTTCATTGGACCATGTGATGGACATGTGGGTGTTGGGCAGGGATTTGGACTTTCCTTTGGGTGGGGAAAACCTGGAAGCTTTCAGATTCAGGTTTTCCCAGATGTGCCAATATGACAACTCTAATAAAATGGAACTTTGAGGAACTTCAAGCCTCGGAGTTTTCATTCATTGGGGGTGTTACTTAGAACCCTGACATAGGCATTGGCAGAATGTTTTTATGGTATTATAATTATACGTGGAAATGGGAGGCAGGAGGAAAAACTGTAGCCTAGACAGTTGGATAAACCTTTGAGTCTGAAGGAGGAATGATAAAAGAAAGAATTTCAGAAAAGGCACTCCCTAGTTTTTGGGAGGGTAGAAGTTAGGGGCAGGAGTACTTTCAGATTTGCAAAGTTTTGTTAATGTAACTTTACAGTAAAGATAGAGTTACTGTTTATGGTAGTGCTCCTTGTCTAAACCACCTCAAAGGACTAATTGATGCTACCATATTTTTCAGACTATAAGACGCATATGATTATAAGATGCATTTAAATTTACAGAAGTAAAACAAGGAAAAAAAATAGCTTTTGGCCTCCACGCATCGGATTTTCGCCCTCCCAGGCCCCCAGAAGCACTCTGTGTCAAGGTTCGAAGTCGTCTCAAAATAAATCGCATTTCAGCCAAGTTCTTTATGAAAACTCACTCATTTATTAGCACGACATTCTGTTCCAAAACTCATTGTAGCCAGCAATGAGTTCCTACTCCAAATCCTTTCCCTTCCTGGCTTGTTTGTTTGTTTGTTTGTTTGTTTTATTAAATTTGTATACCGCCCTACTCCCAAAGGACTCAGGGCGGTGAACAGGCACAGGATAAAATACGGAAATACAAAAGTTAGAAACAATTTAAAACCAAATTAAATAATTTAGCCCAAGACAATTAAAATCCCAATAATTTAAAACAAATTAAAATTTCAGTTTAAAAATTTAAAAGAAAGGGGAGAAAATTAGGCCAGGCCGACTTGCTCTCCTGTTCTGATTGGCCATCTTCCAAGTCATTCTACTCCTATCTACTAACTAAGCTCACAGGAATTTCCTCCCTCCCATCTCATCTCCTAGGAAATAATCTCTCCAGGGAATTAACTGGGTGAAGTGTCAAACGGTCTCTTGCCAGATGCTCCCCCTTCTTCTCTATGTCAGCCCTGAACAAAGTGCAGCTTGAGGGGCTGACACTCTGCAGTGCTTTGTACTGTGAGTTATACAGAGTATGTAGGTCAATATATATTCTGCCCTTACTAGAGAGATTGCCAGGGAGGACAGACGACTTTTATATAGGCTTTCTCCTCCAAGACTCAAATCCGGCTACCACGCGTGCAGTGGCAAAATTCTGTGTCGCTGCCATGTCCACAAGAAAAAAAAAAATGGTTACAGAATTATAGTTGTCAACTGTTGCCAATTTTTTGGAGATTTCTATAACAATTATTGGAAAAATACATTTACTCACATACTTATCGGCTCTCCACTCATGTAAATTAGGGAGTGACCCTAACGGTTTGAGATCATGTATTTTCATAACAGGGATGTTATTATTCATGATTAATGTCAGTATTATTTTTAATTTATTGTATGTCTATTGCTGGTTGATGACCGTAATAAAGTTTTTATTCTATTCTGCATGGCTCATTTTCGCCAAAAATGTGCCCATTTTCGACCTGTAGAGTGCTTCTGGGGACCGGGGAGGGCGAAAATGCAACACACAGAGAGTTCAGGAGGCCAAAAATATCCATATTTGGTCTATAAGACACACCTAAATTTTCACCCATTTTTAGGGGGGGAAAAGTGTGTCTTCTACTCCGAAAAATACGGTAATTTAAATATGCGTTACTATTTTTTACTATGTCTACAAATGCATCCTTTCTACCTATGAGCAACTGTTTACAAATTGGAACTAAGAAAATAAGAAATATCCTAAGTACTAAACTTGCAAGAGCCTTGGTACTACAGTGGTTTAAAGCACCCTGTTATTAACACAGCTGCCTGCAATTTACTGCTGGTTCGAATCTCTCCAAGGCTCAAGGTTGACTCAGCCTTCCATCCTTTCTAAGGTAGGTTAAATGAGGACCCAGTTTGTGGGGGCAATAAGCTGACTTTGTATAAATATACAAAAGGATGAAGGCTATTGCTTAACGCACTGTAAGCCGCCCTGAGTCTCCGGAGAAGGGCGGCATATAAATCAAATAAAAAAAAAAATAAAAAAAAAATAAACTTAGGATACACTTTCAGTGAGTACTTTATAATGCCTCCTTCAACAAAAATGATAGTTTTCAAGTCTCTTTATAGTCAGCTCAATGTTCTTCTTCTTTGAGGATTCCTCTCACTCTTTCTTTGCAAAACACCTCTGGATTACAAATAAAAGGATTATTTGTCCTTACAGTAATAGTCAGTAACATTCAATATTCCATTCAAAAACCTTTGTGTACTTAAATACCTTCAGAGCTGATTTGCAGGCAAGTGCTCAAAAAGACCCTCTCATTCTTAAAAACAAAACCAACATGGTTTTTGTCCCGAATGTGACAGAGTTGAATGAATTCAGCGATGAAGAATTGTTGTCTTGCATTTGGGAGA